GGGAGGGAGGGAGAGGGAGGGAGGGAGAGAGGGAGAGAGGGAGAGAAGGGAGGGAGACCATTGAGACAGAGGAGAGGCAGTGTAGGGGTGCCAGTCACCATGGATCTGGAGAGAACACCTTTGGACTTCACTGTCTCTTACTGAGTGTCCATCAGTGCTGCTCCATGCTGTGCATCTTATGGACTGTTTCCAGTGCTTGCGTAATTCTGAAAGGGCTATATGGTGCCCACAATGGCCTTTTGGAAACACCTGGCTAGGATATAGCAAAGGGTAAATGAAAATCAGTCCAGCCCTTTAGATAACAATCTCTGTCTGGGAATTCAAATTGTACTACATATGCAGTTGTTTGTTTGCTTTCATTATGATGTTCCTTATGTTAATGGAAAATTAGAAGCAACTTACTGTCTAATTCCAGGATTGGATTCAATTATGGTCCACCCTGCTAAGTAGAATATTATTCAGCCTTTAAAATAAAAGTTATAGAGTGATATGGAAAACATTAGTGTGAAAAGTGAGAGAACAATAAAATACACAAAATTTATTTCAAAGATATGAAACCATTACTTAAAGTTAATATTAGAAACGATGAGCCAAAAATAAAGAGTAGTTATGTTAGATGGTTTAATCATGGGCAGGTGGGTTGCCTCCCAAAGAAAAAAGTCTCCAAGAAAATGTATAAGTAGCTGCAATAATTGAGTTATAGAGAGAATAGAAATTACATTCAGAACATACCTAGAATTACCCACTTATGTACTTGCCACATTGAGACATTAAAGAGGTGGCTTCCTTTTTCTTTCTTCCCCCACCCCCACTTAGAATTTGTAATTACATATTTTCAGAGCAAAAAAAAAAATGTAGATTCTGGGAAGCATTTGAGGTGTTGGAAGCCAGTGATAACAATAGATGAAAAATAAATGAAGCTATTTGTCCAGATTCACTTTCCTGCAAAGCACAAAGCTGCGCAGATGCAGAATGCATGTTCTTTAAATGTTGTTAAATACAGACTGTGCAGGCCTAACAGTGCTTGGCAACAAACCTGCTTTTCTAGAATACACCATAATTACTCAAAGCCTACCTAGCAGTGTCAAAGAATGAGACTTTCTCTGTCCCTTCTGGCATCTCAAAGTCACTTTCATAAGTCTTCCCTCATCTCTGTCAGACTCTCATGTACACTAAAGGAGCACTGTGTTAAAACCTACACATTCCAGTTTCTAGAGAATGTTTCCTCTTTAGAGAACAGTCTGCAGTTAAATTACACCAAGGGCTTTGGCTGTTGGATTTATTTTCACTTTTTTCTCACAGTTGTTTGACTCTGTTTGCTAATGCACTTGTTGGGATTTTGATTCTGAAATTCTATTTGAAACACGTGGTCACTGGTCAGTTATGTGCTTAAATGTAAGACCGGGGAAGTCAATAAGATTTAGTTAAATATTATAGGCTTGTGCTTCTCTCCTGTGTCAGCCCATGCTCTGGACACATTAATGAGTGGCCATTCTTTTCTTTCTGGAATTTTGCACTCTTCCTGCTTCCTTTCATTACATTAGGCAAGGTTCCACTAGATGAGACATTTTGCAGTCTTAAGACTTCCTGCCGAGGTTCAGACTTTGTATTTTTGACATTGAAGCTGTCGTGTTTCTGAAGCTAGTTAATTAGAAACACATTCATTTTGGTGTACACTGGAGAAAGCTCAGGCAGCAAAGCCAGGCACACTGGGAAGCTGGGACATCTGTGGGGGTGGCAGCTAAGCTAATGGCTTACAGTTTGGGGGCAAAAATATAGCAGGGCATTTCTTTGCCTCTCAAAGCAAAGAGAAGCTGCATGTACCCCACAGGTACCTTGAAGGGGGAAAAAAGATGGAAGAAGGTGCTAGAAGAAAAGACAGCTCTGTTTCTCTCCACTGTAGTTTGTTTGTACAGTTCTTTCTTTGGCTGTTATCAAATATGAAGTCTTCTAGAAGAGTAGTTCTCAGACTGTACAGCTAATATTCAAGTCTGTCTTCCAGGATCCTGAGATACATGACTGCTGAAATCTGTAATGAGGACATTTTGTATTCTAAAGGATAGTTTTTGCTTGAAGAATTTATTTGTTGAATTGTAATGATGGAATTGCAAGTTTTCTTCTTTTTTGAATGTTTGAAAGGTTTTTAAGCTTGCATCTAATGTCTAAGAACCTTAGTTGCCTCTCCACCTATTTCCAGATGCAGCATGAGCTCCTGGTTTGCAGTCACCCCTGCCTCATTGTTTCCCCAGGTCTACACCCACTATGTAGATCCTTGTCCCTCCACTGTGACTCGCACAGCTGTCCCTAAGTGAAAGTACCTGGACAGCCCAGTCTAAGCCAAGTGTCTTGCCTCTAATTTCATTGAAAACTAGCTCCTGCTGGTGTTGTAGGATATATGACATACTTGGAAAGACAGCCAGGAAAGTTGCCAATTATTTCTGTCCTCCATGCTTCCTGCCCTTCTTCTACTCCCAAGGAAGACAAGGTGTGTTTAGCAACCTGGGACCAAGTCACTGTCAGCCTGGGCTTACTGTTTGCTTGGCTATGTGTCACTAGATAAGTGTTTTAGCCTCTTTTTGTCAATTTTCTCTTTTGTAGAATAGGGGTTATTATGTGGGTTAGAAAAGATGACTTCATATAAGCACTATCACATTTATCACCAGAGAGAAACATCATAACTCAGTATATGTATGTACACACACACACACACACACACACACACACACACACTCACTCCTGAAAATGAAGGAAGGACCAGCTACTACAGAATGCCCAATTTTAGGACCTCTGTATTTACTTGTCTCTGCTCTGCAAAGGAAGCAGACAGTGGAGGCCTCTATTGTCCAGTAGCCGAGATGCATGTGTGTTGTGGCATTCTCTCCTTCATTGTGGAACATAGCTGGTAAGAAAGGAGTGATTCTTTGAAAGCTATTGTCTCTCTATGCAACCTTCACTTATTTTCCATTATGATTGTTGAGTTCAGTAAGTATCAGGACCTCTGTACTGTTTGTGTTTATCTCCTTCTAGTAACAGTAGTTGAGGTTGAGCCAAGAATCCCATATAAAGATAAAGCGACTGAGGCCGGAAAGCTGCCTACCTACTGTTTGGGGTTGGTAGCTGACACCAAGGTTGATGCTCTTCCTGCTAGCTGTGCCGTTCCCAGTGCTGCCTGCATTTTTAAATTCTTTGACATTTCTAGGCTTGGAAACAAAATGTCACATTAAGATTTTTGTTGTGAAAGGAAATGTAACTGTGCATACGTTTATTAAAACAGCTTTTCTCTAAATAGTGAGCCATCTGTAATTTTCTGTCGGAAGCAACAGACATTAAAGCAGCTGTGTGTCTGTTTCTCTTCGCAGTGCTCCCATGCCCTACCTCATAGGAGTCCATTTCAGTCTAATGGAGGTAAGTGAGCTCTGTCCTCCCCAGTCCCTCATGTGAGCTTTGGTTTCGCTTTGTGTCGCAGGAAAAGGGGATCTCAAGATGTGCAGCTCTGCATACAGGAGGGGCTGAAGCAACTGCTCATGCGCATCCCTCCCCCGTCCTTTGCAATGCACAGACTCTATCCATTAATCTAGACCCTTCCAACTGACTCCTGTATTCTGGGCTTTTCTGCTGTAGTTGTAGATGGTGGGTTTTTCCTGGGTATATAGGGAGGGTAAGAAGGTAGGAGGAGAGGTCCCATTTGGGTTTTGATAAGGGAAGGAAAAGGGTCTGTTTTTCATAACAACATTTATTCTGAATCGCTGTAATAGTGTTACAGTTTCATGGTAGAAATATTATACAAATGCTTTTTAGAAGTTATAAAGTTAAAATTATCCACATTGCCATTATTCCAGAATGAACTACTGTTAGCATTTTACTATTCTTCCATTTAGTCTTTATCCTATATGCATGTATTTCATATAATGTTATGTCTTTACATATCAGAGTTATGTTGTGAGAATCCCTGCCTTTTTATCTACCCTCAGTAACAGCAGTCTTCCATTTGTCCCCCGTCATTCCTACAACTTAACCACTTTTCTGCCGTTGAGCACTTAGGTTGCTGGGTGATTGTTTTCACTATTATAAATAGCACTTCAGCAAACATCTTTATGTATAAGGCTTTATCTGCATTTTATATCTGTATTGTTTCCCTAGTGCAGAATCCCTAAAGCAGAAATGCTTGGTCAAAGCTGTGAGTCTGCTGTCAGATTGCTTTCCGTGTGGCTGTACCAATCCAACAGTGGCACTTTCAATGAACTTTTTGGGCTTTTGTTTGTGCCCTTGGTTTATAGACTTGACCTCCAGGCTTTGATTCCTCAGCAAAGGACAGACATTTGCACTGCCCAGAGCAGGATGGGGCTGCTCAGCTTGTCTGTGTGGCACAGTGTGGGCTCTGAGAGGAAGTCTCTAGCCACGCCTGTCATGGTGCTTAGTGTGTCTTAAAGGAAGTGCGACTTCTCTTCTGCTTCTTTCAGTTCTCGTCGACTAGGACCACCTGCTTCGCCACTAACTGTTGCACGCTCTGCTATTGTGCTTACGAAAATGAAATGAGTTGGTTATCAAAAAACCTGTTTGTTTGACATTGAGAATCTTGATCAAAATAGACCACAGAAATCTGCTCAAATTTCTAATTTGACAGGACGGCCATGTGGCTCTTACATTCTGTTAACAGTCCCTCCCTGTCATCACCCAGCCCTAAGCACATACAGTACACAGTTTATGGACTATCTTAGATGATGTATTTAGATCAGACTGAAAAAATTGCTTGTGTGTTTTACCTTTGTTAAGTGTGGGAATCTATTCAAAGTGCCCATACAAAAAATTAAAAGTAAATCCTTTCTAATGGACCTTGCATGCCAACTGCTTTAGAGTTTAAATCACTAAAGACTATTGGGTCTATCAGCGTCCTCGGTCCCTCCTGCCTTCCAGTCTGCTCCATCCCAGGCTTTTCCAGACCCTTCTTGTGTCGCAGTACCTTCAGCATTCTCCAAAGTATCTGGTCTTGGCTTCCTCTCCTTCTCCACATGCCCTCAAGTCATCTTGCTTGAGGCTCTTTCTTCAGCACTGGGTCAAAGTCAGTGGTGCTGCTCTGTGATTATAACACTGCTCTGCTTTGCCTCTCTGGATTTATGTCCAAATTTAAGCACCCACTGAATTGCTTTCCCTAACGGTTTATTATGTATATGCCTGTTTGGGCATACACATGCAGACACACATTCTGAGCAACCAGTTTCTTTCTGATGTTCCTGGTCCCTTGAAAGGTATTGCCTGCAGATATCCCAAACTTGGGGCACACCAAGCTTTCTCGATAAATACTCTTGTCTCTATATAAAGCATCTCTAATCTCGTTCCCTTCTCACTGCCTTCCTTGGCTTTTTTCCTTAGCTTTCTTGGATTCTTACAAAGCCCAATTCACTGATTTGATAGCAAAATGTGAGCCTTGTATGTTCCAAGCACTGTGCTCAGTCTTAGAGATACAAAAATGAGACAAGGGCTCAGTCAGTGGGTGGCCAGGTGTGGCCACTAGAGAGCACCTTCCATTCTCATTCTGCATTGCTCCCAAGTTCCCCATGGCTTCTCCACTGCTGTCAAGGCCTCTGCCCCATCACTGTAAGAACACATATGAGCCAGTGCTTGGACTAAATAGATCCTACAGGTAGTCCTGCCCTTCTCTGCCTCTTCCAAGAAGTGCTCTATCTTGTTCATCTTTCATTGGTGAAATCTCTTACTCTGAACAGTAGCTGTTTGTTTGTATGCCCCACAGTGTGTCCCTCTGGAGCATGAATCTCATGGGAGCAAAGACAACACCATCATCTTTGGTGTCTATAGCTTCTTTAGTAGGATACCAAACAGATGATGTTGTCTGAACCACAACTTTTGGAGAAGGGTGAAGTTAATGCTTGAGGAGCTGTAACTGAGCACATTTTAAAGCTCTCCAACAGGCATCACTGTTTGCAAGTCACTAGTGTCATTATCACTCATAAAAAGCCAAGCCATTGGCACCTAACCCTTGCACTATTGGGTACAGAGACCTCAAGATCATGGAGCTTGCTGGTCTCTAGCCTATCTTTATGTTATGTGAGAGACCCTGTCTCAGAAGAATAAGGTAGAAAATGATTGACCACATCCACGCATACTGTCAAAAGAGAGGTTTGAAAAACATTTTTTCACCTTATTTGACTTTAAGTAATACAGAAAAGGCTCTTTTCTGTGGCAAAGCATACAGTGCAGTATGTACTGGAATTTGAAGCGCTTGGGTGAACAGGTGAGAGTCTGTCTGTCCAGCCTGTCGAGGGTTTGGGTGAGAAGGTTCAGAAGCAGTGCCCCTGCTGTGCTGAACTCTTGGCGTGGTCTTGGGGGAAAAAAAAAATAAAAAAATAAAAACATGGAAGTTGTTCCATAGTTTTCTGAACAAGAGTAACAAAACTGTTTGCTGTGGGCATGGGTGTTGCCCTCTACCCCACCACCAAATATTAAAATTCTTTCTCTGAGTCTACTGAACCTCAGTTTAGGCTCAGGGCTGCCTTGTGCTTGCTTGCTGAGCTCACATGGCTCTGATATAGCCTTCAGTGCTGCAGCCGTGTCCTGAGATTTTCCTGTAGGTATCCAATGCCTGGTGAGGAGTGTGGATCCGCAGCCGAGAAGCTATGAAAGGAGGGGCTGGGGAGGCCCAGATCCTCTCTACACTAGTTTTCTTACTGGCAATTCAGCAAAAGGCTTATTTTTGACTGGCTTGTTATTTTTTCTTGAAAGCTATAGGCACCTTATTATGCCTTTGCATATGTGCCAGGATTTTTTAAACTTCAAATGAATGTGGCAGATGTTCATAAAAGTTTAGAAAAAGCTACCATAGGAAGACTTTTTAACCATTTTTATGACACTCAAATTTGTGCACAAAAAGAAACATAAATTATAACCTAGTATTCTCTTTGGAAGGAAGGTTATTTTGAGGATGGACCTACTTCTAGTCTTCAAGCGAGCAAGATGCTATTGCTGTTTGCTAAATGGTAACCTTGTCACTATAAAGAGTCCACTTTTCTTCCAAAGTGACAAGTTTGTAGCTGTTCTTCTTTCTTCTCCCTCCTTCTGCCTCTTGATATTCTTTCTCTCAGTTAAGCAATTGGAGGCTAGTGGCAAATGAGCAGAATAGCCGAGGGTATTGGCATAGGCCTAACTGCTTCTTGGAGAGAATGATCATGTTAGTTGGCAGCTAGGAAATCCCAAAACATGGCCAGATTACACACTGACTATTTCCTTTCATTCAACTGATCTCAATTTAGTTCAAGACACATTTATTCAGTCCCCCTTCTGTGCCATATCTGGTAGCAGGTGCCAGGTCATGTCTTGTAGATGGTGCTTCTGCTGTTTGTAAATGAAGAGTTTCCTCACATGCTTCAAAACAGTGCTCTGTACAAACCTTAGAGTAACGTGGGGAGGAGGTGCATCTAGAAGGTGTTTTATGTCACTCTTCTTCGTAGAATGGTCAGGAAAGTGGAGGGAAAGGTGATAACAATGACATGTTTTTGAAGACAGACTCAGACTAGCCTGTAATTAAGACCCTGCTGCATGTATGCAGAGGCGAGATATTTGCAATGTGGAGTCTAGCTTTCCTACTTCCTGCTCAGGTGATCTTGGAAGAAAATCTCAACTGATGAGCCTCTTGTTTTCTTACCTGCAAACTGAGCATAAGTGCCGAGTCCCTGTGTGGAATCATTGCAAAGATCTGGTGAGACAGGATAGTGCCCAGCACATAAAGCACTCCACAGAATCAGTAGCCATGGCTGCTTCTCTTTGTTCAGTACCCTTAAAGTCATTTTTATTGCTAAGTTGGTAGCTCCGAAATAATGATATGGGAATTCAGGTTCCCCAGAGAAACAGTCTTAGCAAAATTGGCTTACACCTGCCTGTTGTCCCCTGGTTCATATTCTCCCAGGGTTGGGAATTTGTGTGATTTATTCAGTGTCCTTCCAGACTCCTGCCTGACCATATCCTTGCATTTGGCTGTTATGTTCCCACCCTCACCCCCCACCCCCGGAAAAGCTCTGGCACTACATTATGGCTCTGTGTAAGGGCTGGATTCCTTGAACTCCCAGTTAATTTGGCAATTGTGATACTTCATTGCTATAGGTCTTACTTTCTTCATCTAAGAAACAGCGCTGAGTCCTGTAGGTGTTCGGGGAGTCCTGTTGTCTGGCCTGTGGCAGGGACACAGTACACAGATGGCCCTTTCCACAGTAAGGTGTTGAGAGGCTTTCATGTTCTAAGCTCTGTATCTCATAGTGGCCATGGCTAGTCTCTGCCTTTTTGGAGCTTTCCCTGGAGCAGATGCAAACAGGTAGAAATTAATGGGTGAATTTGGGCTGACATTGGCCGATGGTAGGAGGTACCAGCCCTGGCCTAGAGGGCTAAATGTCACACTT